GTGCAGGAAGGGGCGGGGCCGGGGGAGGTGTGGGGTAGGGAGGGGTTGTGACCTGGGGCAGGGATTGGGGTGCAGGAAGGGGCGGGGCCGGGGGAGGTGTGGGGTAGGGAGGGGTTGTGACCTGGGGCAGGGATTGGGGTGCAGGAAGGGGCGGGGCCGGGGGAGGTGTGGGGTAGGGAGGGGTTGTGACCTGGGGCAGGGATTGGGGTGCAGGAAGGGGCGGGGCCGGGGGAGGTGTGGGGTAGGGAGGGGTTGTGACCTGGGGCAGGGATTGGGGTGCAGGAAGGGGCGGGGCCGGGGGAGGTGTGGGGTAGGGAGGGGTTGTGACCTGGGGCAGGGATTGGGGTGCAGGAAGGGGCGGGGCCGGGGGAGGTGTGGGGTAGGGAGGGGTTGTGACCTGGGGCAGGGATTGGGGTGCAGGAAGGGGCGGGGCCGGGGGAGGTGTGGGGTAGGGAGGGGTTGTGACCTGGGGCAGGGATTGGGGTGCAGGAAGGGGCGGGGCCGGGGGAGGTGTGGGGTAGGGAGGGGTTGTGACCTGGGGCAGGGATTGGGGTGCAGGAAGGGGCGGGGCCGGGGGAGGTGTGGGGTAGGGAGGGGTTGTGACCTGGGGCAGGGATTGGGGTGCAGGAAGGGGCGGGGCCGGGGGAGGTGTGGGGTAGGGAGGGGTTGTGACCTGGGGCAGGGATTGGGGTGCAGGAAGGGGCGGGGCCGGGGGAGGTGTGGGGTAGGGAGGGGTTGTGACCTGGGGCAGGGATTGGGGTGCAGGAAGGGGCGGGGCCGGGGGAGGTGTGGGGTAGGGAGGGGTTGTGACCTGGGGCAGGGATTGGGGTGCAGGAAGGGGCGGGGCCGGGGGAGGTGTGGGGTAGGGAGGGGTTGTGACCTGGGGCAGGGATTGGGGTGCAGGAAGGGGCGGGGCCGGGGGAGGTGTGGGGTAGGGAGGGGTTGTGACCTGGGGCAGGGATTGGGGTGCAGGAAGGGGCGGGGCCGGGGGAGGTGTGGGGTAGGGAGGGGTTGTGACCTGGGGCAGGGATTGGGGTGCAGGAAGGGGCGGGGCCGGGGGAGGTGTGGGGTAGGGAGGGGTTGTGACCTGGGGCAGGGATTGGGGTGCAGGAAGGGGCGGGGCCGGGGGAGGTGTGGGGTAGGGAGGGGTTGTGACCTGGGGCAGGGATTGGGGTGCAGGAAGGGGCGGGGCCGGGGGAGGTGTGGGGTAGGGAGGGGTTGTGACCTGGGGCAGGGATTGGGGTGCAGGAAGGGGCGGGGCCGGGGGAGGTGTGGGGTAGGGAGGGGTTGTGACCTGGGGCAGGGATTGGGGTGCAGGAAGGGGCGGGGCCGGGGGAGGTGTGGGGTAGGGAGGGGTTGTGACCTGGGGCAGGGATTGGGGTGCAGGAAGGGGCGGGGCCGGGGGAGGTGTGGGGTAGGGAGGGGTTGTGACCTGGGGCAGGGATTGGGGTGCAGGAAGGGGCGGGGCCGGGGGAGGTGTGGGGTAGGGAGGGGTTGTGACCTGGGGCAGGGATTGGGGTGCAGGAAGGGGCGGGGCCGGGGGAGGTGTGGGGTAGGGAGGGGTTGTGACCTGGGGCAGGGATTGGGGTGCAGGAAGGGGCGGGGCCGGGGGAGGTGTGGGGTAGGGAGGGGTTGTGACCTGGGGCAGGGATTGGGGTGCAGGAAGGGGCGGGGCCGGGGGAGGTGTGGGGTAGGGAGGGGTTGTGACCTGGGGCAGGGATTGGGGTGCAGGAAGGGGCGGGGCCGGGGGAGGTGTGGGGTAGGGAGGGGTTGTGACCTGGGGCAGGGATTGGGGTGCAGGAAGGGGCGGGGCCGGGGGAGGTGTGGGGTAGGGAGGGGTTGTGACCTGGGGCAGGGATTGGGGTGCAGGAAGGGGCGGGGCCGGGGGAGGTGTGGGGTAGGGGCCAGCCCCCCCCCCAGCCCCCCCGCCCTGGCCTCTGGAGACGCACAGCAACAGCCCGTGGGTATTGTACAGGCCAGTCCGTCAAACCCTTCTGCACCTGTCCGGCCTTCCACCCCCTGTCTGTCTGTCTATCCCTGCACCCCCCATCTATCTATAGATCCCCACCCTATCTATCTATCTATCTATCTATCTATCTATAGGAAAAGGTGGCCGGTGCGGGTGACTGCTGCCCCCTGGTGGTTCCACGCGGCCATGGCTGGACGCCTGGGGCTGTAGCTTCTTCCATGCACCAGCTGCTGGGCTCCGTGTCAGGGCCTCCCCCCCCGTGCCCCTGGCCCCCTCAGCCAG